GGATGTGGAGTGAGGTAATAACGAGAATCAGGAAGTGCTTCCATGGACCCGCGTCCGGTTCGGTGGCTGTGCCGAGGTTTGAACCAGGAAAGAGCCACTGTCCTGTGGTGAGGACCGGGGGAAATGGCCTTACAATGAGAGTGGAGAGCTCTGCACAGAGGAAATAAAACTCACTGGGTTTAGTAGCTAAAATACAAGGGGAAATTACTGTCTGGTTACAGCAGTAAGCTTCCCACAGCAGTTTCAGGTGCCTGCCTTTGGAGACCAGCCCCAAAGCAGAAACTCCTCTCGACTGCTCCTGAGAGAGGCAATTGGAACTTTAGGTGCTCAGGAAAGCGATTTCCTCTCCTAAGTCCTGGTTCACCTGCCCAAGCACCTACAGTGTTTATATTCCACCTCACTCTCTGCTTTGCACGTTTGTATCAATAAAAGAAACTTCCAAGGTCTTCCTCCAGTCTGAGCTGCATCTTCTCTGCACCCCCACACTCTCCCACCTGTTCACGTGTGCTGCTCCCCTCTCCTGTGCTGCTTCCTGGAACAGGGCTCATCCCTCGGCACCTTCCTCGAGCGATAATCCGGGTACATCAGGTGCTTCCCCCAGCCCCTGCGAGATGCTCTCACCATCACTGCTTGAGAAATTTCCTGGGATCGACTGCTCCCCTGCAGAATCTCCCTATAAAAAGTGCCCCACCGAGCACGGTCCGCCCCTTGTCACCCTCACTGCCCACACCTGGGGCTGTCCTGCATGGGAGGGGAGAGAAGGACGGGTGGAGCCACAGGCGGGCGCGCGGGGAGAGGAGGCGGGGCGAGCTGGGGGCCAGAGTCGGTGTGAGCAGGAGGGAGGGGCAGGTGCCCGCTCCGCTTCACTGTGGGCTCTGGGGTTCTTTTGGGCTGGTTTTGGGGGACTGCGCACACCCTCCCCTGGTCACAGCCCCGCCCCAGCTCGCTGCACCCAGCTGCACTCCCCATACCCCTTGCTCAGCTCCGCGGGGATTTGTGCCTCCTCTGAAGGTGGCAAATGTCTACAAAGCGAGTCGGGAAGCCAGAGAGCTGCAGCCCCCGGGCCCCGCCGCGGCTTCCCCGCCGTCACCCGGCACGTCCTGCCCCGCAGCGCCGCTCCCGCTGCCGCCCTCGAACACAAGGAACAAACCCCCGTGCCCCCAGCACAGGCCGGTCCCTCCCCGGCAGCCTCGGCAGCGCCGGGAGCGGCCGCAGCCCCCAACGACGGGCGAGGCGCGCCAGGAGGTGTCACGCGGGGCGGGGGCGGGTCCTGTGGCTGCGACCCCGCGGGGAAGGGACCCCCGGGCCGGCCCCGTCCGGCACCGCCACTGGCCCTGCTCGGCCACCGCCCCTCGCCCACAGTTTTAACATTAGAGAGCCAAGTTTAATCCAGAGCCTGCAAGCTCCCACGTGCAGGGGATTTCCACAGACTTGTTATTTTTCTCTTTTTAATGACCACGTTGCTAAAGTCAGGGAAATACAATCAACATTCCCTAAACACCATCACTTCTACATCCACCTGTGATCAGGGGCCGAAGGGCAGCAGTCTGCCCTGGACGGGCTGCAGGGATGCTGTGAAGGCCACTGTTCCCCAGGTTTGAAGGACTCTGGCCATGATCCCCGGCCCATGGACAGAAAGCCCAGAGCCAACGGGAACTCCAGCCAGCTGCAGGCAGATGTTACTCCGTCCCAGTTTGCTGGGGGTGGGGACGAAGGTGCCCTTCCCCATTCGGAAGTGGAAGTTGTCCCCTGTGCAGAGCCTGCTCTGATCCTCGGCCTCGTGGGAGCCAATTCCCTTGTCCCAGCCCACTTCCTGCAGGGAAGAAAGGGAAAGATTGCACATAAGGAAGACAATTTTCCCTGGGAGGGTGGGGAGGCGGCCTGGTACAGAGAGGCTGTGGCTGCCCCATCCCTGCAAGTGGCCAAGGCCAGGCTGGATGTCTTAATAGAAAGTGTCCCTGCCTGTGGCAGGGGATGGAAGGAGATGATCCCTGAGATCTTTTCCAACCCAAACCACTCCAGGATCCCCGGATGATTCCACACTCTCTCTCTGCATTTATTTGGCCGATGGCCGCGGGAGAGGCAGAAGAGCGGCCGCGCCCACCCACCGCGCCCAGATTACCCCGGGGACGATCTCCGTCGGATCTGCCGCCGTGGGTCGCTTGCGGGGGGTGAAGGCGGCGGCGCAGCCCCGACAGCATCTCCAGGGCACGGCGGGACCGAGCGGGGCGGGGGCGGGAGCGGGGGCGGGAGCGGAGCGGAGCGGAGCGGAATGGGGCGGGCGGGCAGCGCGGCGTGAGCGCCTGGGATCCTCGCGCTCCGCCGCGCGCCGCGGCGCCGAGACGGGGCTGCACACGCCGGTGCCTGCCGCCGCCCACGAACCTGCCGCCCGCGCCCGGCGCCGCCGAGCGCCCCGCCCCGTCCCCACAGCGGGAAGCGGCGCGGCGAGACGGCGCTGCGGGCGCGGGGCGGGGGTCCGGGTCGCGGCGGAGGTCAGGCAACAGGATAGACGCCTCTCTGAGGCAAGGGGGCCTCTCTCCGCCATCTTTAGTGTGGCCTCGGCTAAGATCCGGTCGTGGCGGCGCCATCTTGAGTGTGGCGTCAGGGCGAACTTCCGGACCGGGGCCGCCATCTTTAGTGTGGTCGTTCCGGTCCTGGCGGCGCCATCTTTACTGTGGGCTTGGCGGACTGCCGGGCCGGGGCCTTGGAGGACTTCCGGTCGCTCTCTACTTCCGGTGATCGAGTTTACCCAAATTAGCGTCCCTCCTCGCTAATTTCTGCGCTTTCACCCCAAAAAATCTTCATGTTATTCCCCCCACACACACCCCGGGAGAGACGGGAGACCGCGAGTCCCGCCCTGCCGCCGGAACCGGCCCTTAACTCGAGCAGGGAGCGCTGCACCGCCACGAGAGCCACTGCGCATGCGTCGCCGGTCCCTCTCCTGGCTGCCCTTAGTTACCACGTGATCGCCGGCGTCTTGCCAACGACTGCGCACGCGCCGGCGTCGCCACCTTGCCTGCCCCCCCACCCCGCCGCCCGACCGCCCGGCTTCGCTTTCTTACTGCGGCTCCCCCTCCGCTTTTTCGGCTCCCTGGGGTTCCCCCACCCGCATTTTGGGGTCCCCTTCTCACATTTTAGGGGTGATGACCCCGCAATTTACGGTTCGGGGGGCGGGAGGAGAGGAAACGGGGTGCCCAAGAAGGGGTTTCTTTTTTTTCTTTTTTTTTTTTTCCCCTTTTATTTCATTTTCATTTTATTTCCTTTTTAGTTTTTTTGCCTTTTTTTATTTTATTTTGTTTTTTATATTTCCTTTTTTATTTCGTTTATTTTTTATTCTCTTTATTTTTCATTTTCTCTCCCAGTGCTCCCCAGTAACACCCAGCAACACCCAGTGCTCCCCAGTGCTCCCCAGTAACACCCAGTGCTCCCCAACAACCCCCAGCAACACCCAGTGCTCCCCAGTGCACCCCAGTAACACCCAGTGCTCCTCAACAACCCCCAGCAACACCCAGTGCTCCCCAGTAAACACCCAGTGCTCCCCAACAACCCCCAGCAACACCCAGTGCTCCCCAAAAATTGACCCAAAACCGACCCAAATCACCCCAAAAGCTGACCCAAAACTGACCCCAAAACCTGACCCAAATCATCCCAAAAGCTGACCCAAAACTGACCCCAATCATCCCAAAAGCTGACCCAAAACTGACCCCAATCACCCCAAACAGTGACCCCAAACTGACCCCAAAAACTGACCCAAATCATCCCCAAAACTGACCCAAAACTCTGCATTTATTTGGCACCATTTCCTCTCAGAAACAACATCTCCGATTTAGTTGATTGCTAAAGCCATCATTTTAAAATCATCCCAGGAATCAAAAGGGACTGGAAAACACACACAAATCATTCCTGCACCCACCAAATCATTAGGAATTGGAACCCGATTCCCTCATCTCTCTCCTTGTTCTTCTTGGCTGGAAAACCTGATGATCCCCACTGGCTATTTTTAGGCTGCTTTTCTTCCACAGCTCCTTTCCTCCCAGCTGAAACCTCCTGGCATATTCAGGGCTTATCCGGAGGGAAGCCCCTCTGAGGTATTTCCTCTCGTGGCAATTCTGTGGGATGAAGAAGGAAAAAAAGCACGTCAAGAGCTCCTTCTCCCCCCTTCCTTCGCAAACACCCTCCCAGTTTGTCCTTGGCAGCTCCATCCCCCCGGCACCCGCACCCGACGCTTTGGCTCCGCTGGGAAAGGGACAGCAAGTGCAGAAGCAAGTTCAGTGCTGGGCAGGGGCTCCCTGGGGAACGGCACTTCAGTGCTTTAGTCCGTGGCCTTTCCTGCTGCCCTCCCTCCCGGAGGCAGAGGATGACCCGGCCCTTGTTTCTCCCACGCTTGCAGACCCAGGTCCTGCTCCTTTGGCCCCACTTTTCGTAGCAGACCCGGCATCATTTCCCAGGGTCCCCAGGAAACTTCTGCACTTGACCCATTGCTGAGTGCAGAGCACAGGGCGAGGGAAGGACAAATTTCTCGGCACCCACCCCCTGGAATTTTCCTTCTCCGCAGCACGCTCCCGTTCCCGCTGTCTCTGGAGGTGGCCGCACGAGTCCTCCTTCTCCCAGCACCTCAGAGAATGTCCTCTTCACCCGGGTCCTGCTTACCGGCGTCCAACAAAACACGCTGACGACATTTTTCAGGATGCCAGTGGAGAGATATTAGAGCACACTGCACAGGGAAGCTGAGCCTGCCCCATCCCTGGAAGTGTTCCAGGCCGGGTTGGACGGGACTCGCAGCAACCGGGGACAGTGGAAGGTGTCCCTGCCCACGGAAGACAGGCTGGCCTTTGAAGGTCCCCTTCAAACCAAATCGCTCTGGGATTCCCCTCCAAAATCACTACCCAAGAGACACAGCGATCAAAGCAGAGGGACTGCACTCCCAGCTTTTCTTACCTGCAGGCACACAGCACAGCACGTTGGACAGAAAAGCCACAGGGTTAGTCCTGCCAGAGAGGCGTCCAGCATACCCACGGCGACCGAAGGAAAAGAGGGAGCCTGGGAACACGGAGTAAAAGACACCTTAATTAGGACTACACTGAGCAATAGCCAGGTCATTCCCACAGTTTCACTGTCCAGTCACACAAAAAGCACTCACCGAGGCCTCAGTTAGGATGGCTCCTGACGCTGACCAGGGGAACACCTCCGTTTGCCCCGGGGGGTCAAGAAGAACATCCCTGGGAAGAAGTCACCCCGAACAACAAAAAGGCATAATTAGTGAAGCACGGGGTCCTCTTCTGACTAGACTGCCACCAGCATTCCATAGCAAATGACACGACTGTTCTGTCCCAGACGAGAGAACCCCGTTCTCCCCAACAAACAGCGAGGAGATTTATGGGCACGCCTGAAAATTTCCCGTGAGAAATTTTTTGTAACTAAGGAGCAGGTGCTGTCTTGAGTTGAAGGTATCAATTTGACAGACACTTAGTACAGCAAACTCTTCAGCAGAGCAATTAATTGCTGCCTATTTGAACAGCAGGGGAGAGAAAATGACAGTCTAAGGGAAGACAAGAAAAGCAGAACTGCAATCAGCAGACTTTTCCTCCATCTCTCCCGAGAAAGTCGTGTTTCTCTGTTCTAATAATTCTATGCCCTTTTCTACATGAAACTTACATCAAGGCTGAAAAAACAACTAGAAAACAAGGAGAGAAGCTTTTTAGAATTTCACGTGATTTTCCCAAACCAATCCCAGAAAAGCAGAACTCGGTAGAATGTACTCACCTCGAGGCCTTTGGTCTTTTTTTCCATAAGCTTCGTCACCTGATTGAAAAAGCAGAGTAGACTCGGTATTTAGGCTCACAACAGGAAAACTTCCCCTTCGTTTCCTAAAAGAAACTACATTAATCAGCACAGCTGCAGGCGTGTCTCCAGCTGTTAAAGCCTTTCAGCTTTTCAGAGGGTGAGAATGCCCTGCTAAGGAAGGCTGAAAAATGCTCGGAGCTTGCACAGGTCAAAGAGCACCTCGATTTTGTCTGTGTTTCAGTCCCTGGCTAAAGAAAGGGCAGAACAACCGCAGTCGTTCCCTGCCTTTTCACTAAGAGGTTTTGCCAGGTGCTGGGGCCAGCCCGGGCCCTGCCGGGGCAGCCCGAGCTTTCTGCGGTGGCCCCTTTTGTCCGGGAGGAACCTCCGTCCCTATTCGATCCTGGCAATCGGACTGGCAACGCAAGCCAAGTCACCGGCAGAATTCTGCACCTTTGGTCTCCTCGGAGCGCCCACGGCAAGGGGAAAAAGAACCTTTGGGTCACTGTCCCGAGGACGGAAACCAACAAAACCACACCACCGGACCGAATTCACCCGCAGAAGCCCAAATTCACCGAACGCCTGCTGAACTCAGCAGGAACACACTCCCTCAAGCCCAAGGCATCCTTAGGACGCCTCCGAGTCCGGACTGAAGCTCGGAGAAGCCCGGCACTGACCAAACACCGCCGCTCGCTGCCCCCGACCGCCGGGCGCTGCCTCGCAGTCGCCGCCTGGCGGACACGGCCGGGAACGGCACTGCAGCCGCGCCCCCCCCCTTGCAAGACCCGCGGCGCCTTTCGCGAGGACGGGCCTTTCTTCCCGAAAACCTGCCCTTCCCTAGGAAAAGCCGAGCAATTCACAGAGTTGCTGGTTTTATCCCGGCTTCCCAAAGGACTTCTCTCTCCCGGCGCCGGCGGCAGCGGCAGCAGCAAAGCTCCCCGGGAAGCCCTGACCGAGGATGGGAATTGACACACAACAAGCCAACAGCATGAACTCGGCCCCAAAACACTCCCCAACAGACCAATTTACAGTCACCTTTGCCTCCTCTCCCCCGCGCAGGCACAGGCTTTGGGATTCCAAGGCAAACCCCGAGAGGCCCAGAGAGCAGCAGCCCCTCAGCCCCAGCACGGCCTCCCCCGGGCTCCCCCGGCCGGGAACCGGCCCAGCCAGCCCCTGCTGTGCAGCACAGCAGGCGGGGGGGTGACTTTTGGGACCCCTCCCTGGCCGCTGCAGAGCAATGCAGGCATCGGGGCCAAGTCCTGCCCGGCCCCCGGGCACTGCAGACAGTTCAGCCCCAGCAGCAGCAGCAGCAGCAGCAGCAGCAGCGGGCTGTTCTGCCTCTTGCTCCCCTCTCATTTGGACCCCAACGGTGAGGAACAAGCCCCGGGCACAATCGGCACCGAGCAGCAAGGCCTGGGTGTCAGAGACTGAAGTGTTTGATGATTTATGCATTCTAGGAGACTTTTGCAGGCTTTTGACTTTTTGATGGGCAACTGGGCCCATCCCCCCTCGTCCAGCGCAGAAGATGTCAAGCCCCGAAAAGGCGGGAAGAGCCGAGTTTGCAGGCTTTTGACTGTTACACTGTACCTCTGATGGCCCATGGGAGCCCATCCCCCCCCTTGCCAGTCGGGAAAAGGGCGGGAACCAGGGCAGACACAGCAGCTCTTGCGCAGGGCCCAGGGAGAGGTTGGAGGCTCGAGGTATGGCCCGTGACACTGACCATGGATATGATAATTCATAACTTCTTGGAGTGTGGGGGCTTCCCTCCTTCACCCCCAGCAGATCAAGGCCACCACTTCAGCTGCCAGACATGGAAGCATCGCTGGACCCTGTGGGCGGTGACTATATACATCTGTCCACTCTCAGCTTTTCTTTCTCTTACTCTCCCTTGCTCTTATCCTGCCTTTCTCTCCCCTATGCATTTTTCTCCTCCCCAGAAAGGTTATGACAGCACCCAAAAATGTTAACTTACCTATTGATTCAAAATTGTTAAAATAAATCTTATCCATATATGTTTTCATACACCGATTATTTAGTGTCGTTTCGCTTTAATCCACCCCAAAGGAATTATTGATAAAAACCTGAGTTACCCCCCCTCCCCTTTTCCTGGGGTGGGTCGTAACACTGGGCTCGCCAGAGGCCCGGGCCTGCCTACTCCAGGCTCTGGGCTTCCTTTGCTTTCTTCCGCCGCAATTCTCCTGCCCCGGCAAGCGTTAAAAGACAGACTGCCCGCTGAGACGTGCCCCGAAACAGCCATCAGTTCCCAGGCCAGAAAATCTCAGCGCCACACTTCGAAACCCTGCCGCGAGGCCCCCGGCGAAGCCAAAGGGAGCTGGGATTCCCTGGAGTCCCAGGGAACCGAGGGGAAGGTGGCAAAGGGGCAGAGAGCAAACACACACCCCCCCCAGCTGCTTCTCCCTGCAACCCTCCGGCAGGCGCAGCTGCCCTGGGATTTCATGCCCCTTGTGTCTCTTGCGAGCTCAACGAGCGAACAAAGGGGTCCTGCAAGATCCGCTTCCTCTGTCCCTGAGGCAGCACAGACCCTCCCCGCGGGGGGGGGGCGATGCCAGGGCACATCCGAGCCCGGCCCTGCCGCTCTCGCCGCCCCTTCTCCTGGCGGCGGCACGCAGGTGCGAGTGTCTCCGCAGAGGCGAGAAACCTGCCCGTCGCTTCACCTGCCTGCAGGCCCCGCTGGCCGCGGGAGAGGCAGAAGAGCGGCCGCCGCCCCCCCGCCGGGCCCCCGCTTACCCCGGCGACGATCTCCTGCAGAGCCCGACGTCGGATCTGCCGCCGTGGGTCGCCTCCGGGGGGGGGGAGGCGGCGGCGCAGCCCCGACAGCATCTCCGGGGCACGGCGGGAGCGGAGCGGGGCGGAACGGGGCGGACGGGCAGCGACTGCCTGGGGTCCTCGCGCGTGCGCCGCGCGCCGCGGCGCCGAGAGGGGTCTGCCCGCGCCGGTGCCTGCCGCCGCCCGCGAACCTGCCGCCCGCGCCCGGCGCCGCCGAGCGCCCCGCCCCGTCCCCACAGCGGGAAGCGGCGCGGCGAGACGGCGCTGCGGGCGCGGGGCGGGGGTCCGGGTCGGGGCGGAGGTCAGGCAACAGGATAAACGCCTCTCTGAGGCGAGGGGGCCTCTCCGCCATCTTGAGTGTGGCCTGGGCTAAGGTCCGGTCCTGGCGGCACCATCTCGAGTGTGGCCTCGGGGCGAACTTCCGGGCCTGGGCCGCCATATTTGTGTAGGGCCTTGAAGAACTTCTGGTCCTGGCGCCGCCATCTTTCTTTCGGGGCGGCCTCGGAGCACTTCCGGTTCGGCTGGTGCGCCCTCGAAAACAGCCCGGTCGCTCTCTACTTCCGGTGCCCCACTTTACCCGGAGAACGACCCTCGCTAATTTCTGCGCTTTCGCTCCAAAAATCTTCATGTTATTTCCCCCGCACACACCTCGGGAGAGAGACGGGAGACCACAGCTCCCGCCGTGCCGCCGGAGCCGGCCCTCAAGTCGAGCGGGGAGCGCTGCAGGAGCCACTGCGCATGCGTCGCCGCTTGCCCTCGCCCGCCCGCCCTCACTTACCACGTGATCGCCGGCGTCTCGCTTACGACTGCGCATGCGCCGCCGCCGCCACCTTGCCTGCCCCTCCACCACCACCCCACCCCACCGCCCGCCTTCGCTCGCTCGCTGCGCGCGCCTCGCCCGCTTGGCAGGGGCCCCTCCCTCACATTTCGTGCCACCCCCTCCGCTGCCTTTGCGGCTCCCCGCCCTTCCCCCGACCACCTTTTCGGGTCCCCTTCTCACACTTTGGGGGGGACCCCCAAGTGACGGGGCGGGGCGGGGCGGGGCGGGGAGTAAACCCCGGGGTGCCCAAGAAGGCTTCTTTTTCCCTTTCATTTCACTTGGCATTTTAGTAGGGCCTTTTTAGTTTGCTCGCTTTGATTTCTTTTCTTTAATTTTCTTTTGTATTTTATATTTCCTTCTTTATTGCCTTAATTTTTTATTCTCTTTATTTTTCATTTCATTTTCTTTTCTTTCTCGTTTGCTTTTTTTCTTTTTCTTTCTTAGTCCTCCAGAGAGGAAGAAAGAACACTGCAGCTCCTCTGGGCCAGAGAAAGGCTCCCCTGCCCTTCCCTTAAACACAAGGCCTGCCAGGAGGGCCCCGCAAGCCCGCTCCGCTCCTGCCAGGCACCGGGGCTCACCCCCAGGGGGGCTTTGCCAGCACCCAGTGGAAATTAAAATTACAGCCCGGGCAGGAAATTCAAATTACAGGCCGGCAGGACCGCTCCTGGCCAAGGCCACCGCTCCGTGCAAGTCAGACCAGTGACCACCCGGGGCTGGGGATTTTCGGGGGCACGCTTCCAGCTTTTATTCTCCAGAAACTCCAGTTCTTTCTGGCACCCCTTGCTTCAGTCTTCCCCTGTTGCAAGAGGTCACACAGTCTTTCTGGGGGCCAGATTGCCAAAGCCCGGCCGGTCCATTCCCTCCACACCCCCCGCGCTCAGGGGCCGAGGGGCAGCCCTGCCCCGCACAGGCCCCGGGCTCGCCTTCAGCCCGTCTGTCCCAAGGCTGGAGCTATCCTGCCATCAGCCCGTGGCCACGAGGGGCACAGAAAGCCCAGGGCCAACAGCAGCTCCAGGCAGCTGCAGGCAGAGGTTATCCCTTCCCAGCTTTTTGGCAGTGGGGGGAAGGGCAGCGGCATCGTCCCCGCCGCAGAGCCCGCCCCGATCCTGGGCCGCCTTGGAGACAATTCCCCGTCCCAGCCCACCTCCTGTGGAAAAACAGCAAAGATTGGACCTTAGGAGAGAATCCTTCCCTGGGAGGGTGGGGAGGCCCTGGCACAGGTTGCCCGGAGGAGCTGTGGCTGCCCCATCCCTGGAAGCATTCAAGGCTAGGCTGGATGGGGCTTGGAGCCACCTGGCACAGTGGCAGGTATCCCTGAACAAGATGATCCTTAAGGGCCCCTCCAACCCAAACCACTCCAGTATTCCATGAGGATTCTGTGAGCTCTCCCTGCCATTCATTTGGCACCGTTTACTTTCCACTTTAAATTCCCAAATTCACACGGTTTGTTAAAGGAATCATTTTAAAATTATTCTAGGAAAAAAAGGGGGAGTGTAAACCAGACAAGAATCATTCCTATGTCCATCAAATCATTAGAATTGGAAGCATATGACCTCACCTCTGTCCTTGTTATTGTTTCCTGGAAAACCCTATGATCCCACAGTTTCAAAGAGAGATCCACTGGAATGACCAGGTTTGCTCTGACAGAGAGCCAGGGGGTTTTAGATCACTTATTCCTCTGCATCCTTACTCTTTAACCAGGTTTCCCCGGAACTATGTTGCGGGAGAAGGCTGGAATTACTAGAAATGGATCAAGTTCACATGTTGTCCCACTGCTTTCCCACTATTTTCCAATTCTTGGAATCACCCACCGATGTGCCCTAGGAACCCACTGTGAAATAGATCAATCAGAGGGACATCTGGAAGAGAGAAAACCAGATCCAGCAGCAGCCAAACCAATCCCATGGCTCTTTTTACCCGCTCTCCAGGTGCTGCTGCCAGAGCTCCCAGCAGCCGTTCCCATTCCCAAAGAGGCCGGGTGGTGCCGTGGAAGACACTCATGACATGCAGGAGGGTGAGGAGGCGCTTCTGGACGTGCTCTTTGCTGTGAATTCAGATGCCAGAGTCCTGATGGTCTTTATGGTCCCTTCCAACCCAAACCAGCCTGTGATTCCATGAGGTGATCAGCACCTTTTCCAAGTCCCTCCCAGAAACGTCCTCCCCTAACCCAGAACTTCTCCCCTCCTCTTTTTGGCACATCAGGGATGTGCTGCCAAGTGCCACGGCACGGCAAGCCTGGGCATTCCCTGGGGATGGCAAGCCTGGGCATTCCCTGGGGATGGCAAGCTTGGGCATTCCCTGGGGATGGCAAGCCTCGGCATTCCCTGGGGATGGCAAGCCTCGGCATTCCCTGGGGATGGCAAGCCTCAGCATTCCCTGGGGATGGCAAGCCTCGGCATTCCCTGGGGGTGCCGTTCCACGCTGACCTTGTGGCTTCAGTGCTCCCTCAGTCCCAATTCCAGCTGGGAATGTCTCAAAAGCAGTGCGTGTCCCCCCTCACACCCCACCACTGGCACAGATGGGATGGCACTGACTTACTGGCTTTGGGATTCCTTGTCTAAAAAGCAGGTGCGGGAATATCCTGTCCCAGGAATATCCAGAGTGCCCCCCCTGCAAATTCCTGAGCCCTGTCCAAAAATCACCAGGTGACATGAGGGGTTTATCCATAGTGTCTGTTTTCCATAACCCAGCACTTCAGTGACTCCAGAGTCAAATAAATCAGGATCAATCCCAGGTCACATGGACTGGGACAAACCGGCTGCTGTGCTGGAAAGGGTAATTCCAGAGGCTCATCTCCCATTACTGGGAATTCAGGGCTGCAAAGAGCCCGGCAGTGATCCTGGATTCCTCCCAACTAACCCCACCCAACACTCACTGCCAAGTGCTGCTGCAGCACCTCTCTGGGGAAAGGTGCCCAGTGCCCAGTGCAGAGGGGATCCAGTGAGGCCCCTGCCCAGTTTCCCAGGATGGATGGGAAGCTGCCACGGACAGGCTGGATCTCAGAAGAACTCCCTTTGAGTAGGTTCCTGAAAGCTTCTAAACCAGGGACTTGTTCCCAAGTCTAAGGCAGCTGAAATCCCGTGGCTCGCCGGCCTTCCTGAGAAAGTGCTGCAGAAGTGAGCTGGGTGTGGCAACCTTCCTTTCACCTGACTTCAGGGAACAGCTGGCTGGGATTTTAGCTAAACTTTAAACCAGCCCATGACACATCAGATGGAAAAAAATAGAACCAGAAGGTCCCTTTTCCCAGCTGAAACCTACTGGGATATTCAGGGCTTATGTGGAGATAAACCCCTCTGAGGGATTCCATACCAAATATCATGGAAATTCTGAGAGATGAAAAAGCAAATCAAACACTTTCCGAGGAAGTTCTCCCACCTTAATTCCCAAACACCCTCAGAGCTTGTCCTTAGCAGCTCAAGTCCTGCATGACACAGAGCCAACACTTCAGCTCCAGTGGGAAAGGGGCAGCAAATGCAGAATAAAGTTGAATCTCACCTTCAGGCAATTCCCAAGGAGCTGATGACACTCCAGTGAAATCCTGGCCCGGGACAGGACTGTCCTGCCTGTGGATCGATCCAGGCTGCTGCTGTCGCTGCTTTTGCTGCTTCGGGAACTTCAGACATTGTTTCTGCAGCCAAGACGAGGATTTCACAATTTATTTTCAGGTTTAATGCATTTTTTGTTGTATTTTTAAATGAGGCTGTATTTTTAAATTTTGCTATTATTCTAGTTCCCTAAATTACTGCTCAGAAGTCTGACAAAACTGGGTAACTAATGGTCTGTTTTCCTGTTACAGAACAAACCATGTGGTTTATGAAACTCCAGTATGTAGAATATACAATCACAGACGCAACCCTACTACAAACAACTTAATTGTTTTTTACAAGGTTTTGTCATGAGGTTTTTATTTACACCTGATACCTAAAATCCTTTCAGGAAAACCTACACAAATTTGGCAACAGTTCTCATTTCTCATAATTAGTGTTTGAGCACACAGGAATCATTTCAGGCAATTCCCTGCTGCCCACACAAGGTCACTTTGGACCTCTGAGTGCTTCCAAGTCTCTCTGTCAGATTCTCTGTCCCACTGACCAAACTGCACCACGTTCAGCATTTGCCTGTTGTGACCAAAAACCCTCCCAAATGTTCATCCAGAAGAATGTCTTCTCTGCAGTGGTCACAGCTGTAAATCCAGTTCTTACAGATCTGATGGCAGGAGCGATTCTTTTCCAGAGATAC